CCTATCAAGTTGTCTTTTGAAACGCGTTGAGTGTTTCGACTTAAATGCCATAATGGGATTCGTCTTGAAATATGTCCCATATGCCCTAATTCTCTTATCTAGTTTTCGCTACAAAATTGTGATAACCCACTATCTTTCGCACTTGACACATGAATCCGTAATCGAAAAGAGGGGATTGTTTTTTTTTTTTTAATTCCAACATTTGTTTAAGAATATTTGTAATGAATAAATTACATCATTAGAGGCATAAATAACGCTTCCTAATTCTTTATGTTTAGTTACTATGTCCGAAGACTTGTCAAATGATCGACTGTCACCAAACTCTGCTTAGTTTCGAATCATGCTGACCTTTGTCAACTAATAAAGTTCATTGACCCTGAATAAAAGTTTATTTTTTATAATATCAGCGTTGAACACAGACAAATGATTTAACGAACCAATCCTTTTAAGGGCGTGAGATAAATAAAGACTATATATTGTTTGAGGGGCTAGAAACATTTAAAAATAATTCAAAAGTATAATGCGTTGAATTCCCTTCCACTCTAGTTGTACTTAATAAAAAATGTGTTTTACAAATGTGTGTTAAGACTATTTCAGCAACGTTGCATTTGTTAAATGCATTTTTTTTTAAAGAAGATGATTTTTGAGAATGTTGTAATTATTATGTCCCTTTGATGACGGTTTTTCAATTCTGAAATCTCGAGTTAGCAATTGATAAAGAGACATGAAATAGGCACACATTATTTCCCTATAAATTGTGAACATTTAGGAATGTTGAGATTTTAAAACGTCACCATTACACATTTAAGATGAAACCGTGGAAAACCTTTTGTAAAATGTTACACCAGTTAATAACTGCCGCTGCTTATCAATAATATCATACAAAGTCTGTTTTCTGATTTAGTCGTGTCTTATATATCAAACCAGAGTCTGAGACAGACACTAAGACTTGTTTTAAATAAAATCAGAAAGTGAATCATTGAACACCGTGTTGTTAGAAATCAATCCATACACGCAGAGAGTAGATCATTTAGGCTAATATTTAGCAATAATAGAGAAAACACATCTCGTTAGATTAAATACACCAAACATGTAAATCATTGGACACCATGTCATTAGAAATGAAACCACACAACACAGCGGGTAGACCATTTAGACTGATATTTGGCAGTAATAGAGAAAACACATCTCGTTAGGCTAAATACAACAAACGCGCGAACTATTGAAGTACTGGCTCATGGCTCCTCAAACACAGTTATCTAGGACGCGGTGTTATCAGCGTGACCTACAATCACCATAGAGCCCTATTGAACAGAGAAGAATGTTAGTTTCTTGTCTAACAGGGTTAAACACTCTAATCGGACCAATAAGAGTTCACACAAAAGAAAAAACAAAAACAAGACGTTGCATTTGCATACATCTACTTTATCATTACCCCCCTTTTTTACAAAGGTCAAAAAATAATATTATTGTAAGATATGTTGGTATTGTAATAAATGGCTGTAAAATGTAATAATGATGTAAGAATCGTTAGCGGGTTGTAAAATTTTGCACTCGGGATGGAATGGACATGATGAAAAGGAGGAGCATTCTCGATAGAAGTGTACGTCGTACGTACATTAAATTCACACACTAAGCAATAATTATTCTGAGATTCTGAGAGTCTATAAAATGCTATAAAAATATCACCGCTATGTTTCCTCATTATGTGTTTAGCCTGTTGACAACATTAGTCAACCGTGCAAAGTGCAAGTGTTGTCATTTGTCACCTGCAGCTTGTTGACAACAGTAGTCAACCGTTCAAGTGTTGTCATTTGTCAGATGTGTTCCTTTCAGAGAATGCGCTCGGAGTGGGGGTGGGCGCCCGGAGTATGGGTCAAGGTGGGTCACATGACCCACCCTAGAAAATATAACTTATACTAAACAAGTATTAATATTTTCACTTTGTCCCTATGAATATAAAATAAGTTACAAATAAATAAATACAATTTCTTTGTATAGGCAAGTGTCAACAAATGACCAGGCTGAGAAGGGAAACGATGGGCGTAGTTATACCGGCCAAAAGTACAATAGGGGAGGGAGTAGTTCACCTGACATGGGCAGCGTTTATGGCAGTACATGGAGAAAGATAGCATGGGAGGCAGGGAGACACACATATATATATGTATGATATTACCCTTATGATTCCAAAGTTTGTTTATCCCCCACCCACTGAAAAAATTCCCGCGGGCGCCCATTGTGCGAGGGGGGGGGGGTATTTCAGATGTTCGTGTGGGTAGTGTCAGTGGCGTAAGAAGGAAGGTGGAGAGGCGTCCCCCTCCCAGGGCTCTTTTTACGGAGGGGTGCCTTCTGCAGAGTTTCTATCGCTGAAGGGGCGGCCAACATCTTTACTCACCCCAGAGGGCACAACCCTAGCTACGCAACTGGATATTACATTAATGAAAAAAATGACACCAGAACCAATCAAACGATCTTGTGTACAGATCATTTGGATGATCTTGATTAAGAAGGTTTTGGTGAGCTTGAACAACAAGACTTTTGTGAACATGAACAACAAAATTTTAATGAACTTGAACAACAAGGTTTTGATGAACTTCAAAAATAAGATTTTGGTTTATTTGAACAACATTTTTTTTTTTAACTTGAGCAACAAGATGTTGATGAACTTGAACAACAAGATTTTGATGAGCTTGAACAAAAAGCTAAATGTCCTACGCAAATGTTGATTAAAAACTTTCTCAAAGAGGAAAGAATTTAAAAAGGGGAAATTCAATTCTGGAATTTGTTTAACTTTTTCCAAAAGATATATTCAGAACAAAAATACTTTGTTCCTATATTATTTAAGTTTTAATGCCGTTTTAAGACGGGCCGGGCGGCTACCAATGTTCCCTCTAAGGTTTGTTGGTTCGTGTGCAAAATCATAAAGTTGTGTGCAAATTTTTACAGCATCAAATTTTTTGTGCGCAAAATTTTCAGCCTACAAAACACTTAAGTGGAAATTAGCTGCGCGGTACTCAAAACTGCTTCGCGGTGTCTGAGATTGCTGCGCGGCCGCGCAGCTTAAAGGGAACATTGGCGGCTACTGTGTATACGGTGTTAATGCAAAAACTTAAGAAGAACGTCTATTGAGCATTCGGTGATATTGCAAAAACTTAAGAAGAACGGCTACTGTGCATTCGGTGATATTTGCAAAAACTTAAGAAGCGGGGCTACTGTGTATTCGGTGACACTGAAAAAAAACCTCTCTCTTCTGACAATCTCTAAGCAAGAAATTCACCAGCGTGTTAAAACCTATTGAAGAATACACATTCCGAAGATGTCTATCTCCCAGATAAACTTTTATACTTTCATTGATATATTTTAAACTAATGCACAGGCCCCCCAGAATCGCTCGTTCTGTCTCTGTTAGTCCTCTATCAAATCACATACATTGCAATGTAAAAAAAATCAAAATAATATTCTCTTATATGAAAGAAACCTAGGGACTTTTTCTTGAGTATGATGGCCACCTAATGCTCCGAACAAAGGACCTTTTTTCGAAATTAAAAAAGGAATCAATAACTAATTAAGGGCCACGATGTAACAATGTTAGCCGCACTGAGCCATTCTCGGCTCTCAAAAGGAATCAATTAAGGAAAATTGATTTTATTTTTAATGAACTTGTGGGCAATTAAACAATGAGCAAGGGTATAGGAACGATAATTGTTTACTCTTAGTGTAAGTATGTTATAAGCTGTTATCGTTTATTTGTATACAATTACTATGAAATGTGGTGTTTATTATAAAGAAGATAAATGCTGCATGGAAATATCTACTTAACAATCCTAAGAACTTATTCCAGGTCAAATAAATATAGATTTTTTTTTTAAATTCTAGATATCAATAATATATAGGTGTTGTTCGTCCATTCATCCTTTCCATGTGAAGATGACAAAGCCATTGTTCAATGGTGGGGGCTTGCCAGTCCTACGTGTGCCAGGAAGCTTTCCCGGACGAAGGACACACGTGTTTTTCCTAGTTGGATTGGAGTCGATTCTGCTTTACGCTTTCGTTTTGGTGTGAGCAGTGCCTTTACTCTGTGAAGATTGTGCTCCAACAGTGAGTCTGCCTCGCCTATCTGTACGCTCCGTAGCACGTGTTTCCCACGAATGAATTGTTGATCGATATCCATAGATTTGTGTTTAAGCTTCAGACAGGTTTTAAAGCGGTATTATTTTTTAAAAAAAAATTTTTCTGTCCACCATCTGAACATTTTCCACTGGAGAGTTCCCTGAACATTAATTGTTTATGAAGACCGATGTCTGGTAAACTCGCAAAATGCCCTAGCCATCTGGCTCGTCCTATTTTGTAGGTAAGTATGGATGCTGATAACGTCAACCTGAGGTAGGACTTCTGTAAAAATAAAATATTTAACAGTAGGTCTGCACTAATTGCTGTTGTGTCTTATTGTGTTAACTGTCAAGTGCAAAAGTTTTTTTTTTTTTTTTTTAATGTGTACATGTTTTATTTGTTAATTTTTAAAATAATTTTTAACGCTTTTTTTTCTTTCTTTTTTTTTGGGGGGGGGGGGTTTTTTTAAAATTTTTAAAATAATTTTTAACGCTTTTTTTTCTTTCTTTTTTTTTGGGGGGGGGGTGTTTTTTTAATTGTGGAAGGGGGGGGGTGTTGATTGCAAGGGGCCCAGAACTCAGCCTACTGCCTCTCGTTAGCTGAATCCGGCTCTGCTCAAATACAAATTTACAAAGATGTTCAATATAAAGTACACGTTTAGTATTATTTAGGGGACGAAATCCAATTAAATATTGATATGTGTTAAAATGTGATTATTTCCCTTTAAATGTTCAGCGGTGTATTTCCTTATGAAATTAGAGGAAACTTAAGTTATCGCAGACTCAGTCATTTCATTTTAAATTGTGCAATCAAAATTAAATTTAAGTAAATATAAACAGCTATGGCAGTTTTTGTTTGTTTCTTTCAAATGGATAGAATATCGGGAAAATGTTGAGAATAATGCCCGCTATGGCCGCCATCTTACCAGTTAATTCTCTAATGTATCGCTAAATCGATCCCTATGCCTAGCCTGAACCCTAAGCCTAAATCGATCCCTCAACCTAACCTAAACCCTAATTCACTGCAACTATAATAAGCACGCAAATGACGTCATGGGCATGATTCTCAACAATAGCCAGGCAGAATATCGCTTAAAATAATGTTTCGCTATTTTCGGTTCCAGTCGACAGTGATTGCTTTCTTTGAATGGTTTTTAGACCTGCCGCTGACCTGCGCGTTACGCTTGCCTGACTACGACCGCTATTTAAGATTAAGATCCACTTATTACATTGTCAGTGAGTATAGGATTTTAAAAACATAATTTCCTAAATTTGGAACTTATTTGTTAGAAATGGTAAGTTTTCTTTTTTGTATTTTTGTTTGTAAATGTTAATCAATAATTAATTTATTATTACGGCTACGAGTACGGGTCACTGAAACAGAAGAGTTTCATACAACGAGGGCAATGTTCTTCCAGTTCCATGATGTAGACTAGTGGTTCTCAAACTTTCTAGTACCGCGACCCTTTAATACAGTTTTTTCGTGTCGTGGCGACCCCCCAGCCACACAATTATTTTCGTTGATACTTCATAGCTGTAAGGATAAGTCTTTTCAGATGGTCTTAGGCGACCCCTGGAAAAGGGTCCCGCGACCCCGGGTCGCGACCCACAGGTTGAGAGCCGCTGATGTAGACTGTAGAGTAGGTCATGGAGGATTCATTTGCTATACACTACACTGTATTAAATCTTACTTCCTATGCTAACTATCATACCCATATTTCCTATCGCAAATGCTCCAGATTTACATTGAGGATTTAGATATTATTTATTTATAAAATACCACTCTCCTTTTTGTTGCTGTCTGACAAAACTTTAGAAATCCAACATCGATATAAATGCACCTCCCTCCTCTTACCCACCCACCCCCCTCTTATTCTCTAGTTCGGAAGGACTCTCACTATCGTTAATCCAGGGTATCACTACCACCCTAGCGTTATCTCTGAGTGTGTCGTAGGCGATAATGAATACAGATTAACCTCTCAAAGATAAGGTAACTGTCAAATCTCAAATGGTCTCCTCCCATTATCAGTGATGATAATTTGAACAACCTATTTTATTGTGAGTTTTTTTTTAAAACGCTGACAGAGTCATGGACTAGTCAGAGGACAGGGGTCCGACTTGTGACAGTGTCTTAATTTATTAATTCGACTTAACTTAGACTTTAGACACATGATGTTATTAATATTAACAAGCTGTTGACATTGTAATGCAATGCGAACAATTACCAAAGTCAATATATATATATANTATAATATATATATATAAATATAATTTTTACTTGAAGTTTGGCGTTTGGAGAAGAAAATTATTGTTTTATTCACATTATTATTATGATTATGTAATGATTGTCAAAGTCTAAATAAAACACCTAATAATATGAAATGAAATATTCTATTCTAATTGACTATATTTATAGTCTATATACTATTAATACTATATAATATAGTATATTATATATTTGAAAAAAGATTTCTTAAACTTAGAGACAAGCCTAACATTGTGATTGTAAGATGTCTTAGACTTAGATGTCAAATATGTTAAGAGGGATGGGCATGTCTAATAAGAAGATATATTACATTATATTATACTAGAATAAATGACCCAATGTTATCGAGATAATAATGGTAGGTCCTTTGCGATAATTTCTACCTGACTACCTGCAATTGCAAAAACTCATCACAATTCATAACTTAAAAAATATAGTTATATTTAAGTTTCTAACATCATTAAGTTTTGTGAAGTATTTATCTGCTATATTGCCTATGTAACATGTATTATATGCCTACCCTACTCCCTTTCATGATCAAAAACTACTTTTTCCCCCTCTAAACATGACCTTAAATTACCAAATCTTAAATTATCACTAATTATGTAACTTTTGTCACTAAAGAATTAAATTGAGGGACGATTTCTACGCTAGAGAAATACTTTAGATTTACCCCTTTTCGTGCCTTTGAATTACAACTTTTTTTCTTTAAAATTTTTAAAAAACATCATCTTAAATTTACAACAAAAACTCTATATATGATAAAAATATATTTTATATTACAGGACTTTGATATATATTGATATGTTCCTAAAAAATTTGAAGACACTTTTGTATTTTTAAAAATTATACATTATCAGAAAAACATAAAACAAACCTTTTACCTAAAGAAGAATCTCGAAACCGTTTTTCTCATCGATTACAGACTCGTGTCTTTTTAAAAATTGCTTTAAAAATTTATTTAAATTTTTTAAAAGAAAATATTAACCCATCACCATTTTTCAAAATTAAATTTTCAAGTGTGTAAAATGATTGGGTTTTGATAGTCATGGGTATACTTATATAAATGTACCAACGTTTTGTTAACGCCATTGATTTTCTTAATTGGTTAACATATGTCTTTTTGTAAAAAGAGAATGTAACATCTCTTTTTTCACAAATGTATTACCATAGGATTTAGATATATTGTCATCCATGTAAACATGTATACATCCTATTTCCTCCCTCTGATATGTATGTACCCAAGAAGGCCATTTATTTATCAAATTCATTACTTTATTTTTTAGACATATCTTGTTCTGCCTGGGGCGAAATGACCAACCCCCCAATCAAGATTTTTTATTAAAATTAATACAATCTTCCACCGGACTTTAGTCCTTTCCATACCCAAACTAACAAATTTTGCACTTCATTTGATGAATGCTATTTGACTATGGAGTTTCGCTGCTCTGATTGACTTAAACAGCATTTTCCTATCAGAAGGACATTTAAAGGTTAGTTTTTATTAGTCATAAATTTAATTTAAAAAATATATTTTTGGAATTAAAAAATAAAAAACATGTTAAAAATATAAAGCTATAATATGTGTGTGTTTTATTAACAATTTAAAAAGTAATCAATTATATTTTTTAATTTTAAGAAAGGGGAATGCATTATCATTTTTGTCACGCAAGGTTATTAAACCAAAGAAACCTAAGAGTTTTGGCTAAATAGGCAATTCGGTATGCCATCATTTGGTGATTATGTATAACCAATAAATTTTAATTTATTTCCAATATTAGCAACACACTAAAAGACCACTAAAAACAACTGATGTTTGGGTTTTCCCGATAAATGTGATTACGGTGTATTTTTTTATCATAATTTTTTTTTTTCATAACTTTCAAACACATATAAAATGCTTAAAATAGTTCCTTAGTTATGCTTTAAATGTACTTGAAATTTATAAAAATAATACTTAAAATTTTACTAAAATAAAAGCGGATACAAAATATTTTTTGCCCATTTAAATTTATTCGATTTCCGTAAAATAATAGAAAATAACTATGATGTTTTTCAGATTCCAAATGTATTTAAATCATTCTTTGACCTAAGTATATATAACTAAGTATATGTATATATTAGTCATTGGCGATGATGGGTACTCGGGTACCTATAGCCACTTCGTATATATATATATATGTATGTATATATATATATATATATGTATATATATATATATGTATATATATATATCTATATATATATATATATATATATATATATATATATATATATTTTTTTTATATTGATATATTAGTCAATATATAACTATATATATATATATATTTGATTTTGGCGAATATGTGTACGCGTGTATATATATACATTTTATATATATATATATATATATATATATATATATATATATATATATATATATATATATATATATATATATATATATATATATATATATATATATATATATATATATATATAGTTCTTTTACCTTGAGATATTAGTCGCTTGAAAAATTGACACTAACCAATAGTAATATGCATTGATAAATAGAGAAAATATATATGTCAGATGGCCTCTGAATATTAATGAAAGATTCATGTTCAGACTTAATGCTATTCCTTTTTTATCCACCTCATGTTTATTCCAGAAGTTTTCTGCCCTGCTGATACCGAATTTGTTTTGATGGATGTACATTATTTTATTTACAGATGTTAAAATTGTTTGAAAAGTTGCTGAAAATTAACATGTGGAAGTAGAAAAAAAATCTTCAAACTATTTTTGACTAATGTTACAAAGGCTTAAGGCACTCTTTCGGGTAAGTTCTATGATTTAAAAATAGGATCAATTTATTGACACATTCCATCTTTGTGTGATTATTGAATTGATGAGAGAAAAAATGTTTTGCTTCTAACCATAATCAATTATTATTTAAATTTTATGGTTTAGTTTTGTGCTGAAATTGCATAATTTCTATAACAGGATTTACAATGGGGGTGGCTGATGAGGGTACAAAGTGGCATTTTAAGGGGTGCAAGGAAAATTAATTATAACATCAGAGGAACTATTGACTTTTAAGTTATGATATAAATTTTTATGTTGTTTTACTACATGTAATAAGTTACAAGTTTAAAACTAGGTTGATCAGGTCTTTGTAATTCATTTGCAAACAATTAGAAGTTCATTTTTTTTTCAATTTTTAAAATCCATTGTCTTTTGTAAAGGATGAGAGACTTGGTCCAAAATTTGTAATGGGTTATTTTTCTGTCTGGCCTACTTAAAGTAGTGCTCGATTCTAACAATCGGCTCCATTTACATCTAATCTACGAATGCTCTACAGAAATTCTCTCAAATTATTCTTACTTTCTCATTGTGAACTTCATTTCAAAAGTTGAGTGAAGGTCTAAAATGATAGCTCCTAACGGAGGGCAGACCATACTCATCTCTCTTGTAGTTTGATCTCTTCTCAAACTGACTCTACCACTCAGGTTTATATGTCAACCATATATGACCTCTTCTTGACACTTTTCTATATTTAAACCATGTATGCCCTCTTATAGACATGTGTCTATATTTTGATGTTTCCCCTCTTATAGACATGTGTCAATATTTCAATCATGTATGCCTTGTTATTGACATGTGTCAATATTTCAATTATGTATGCCTTGTTATAGACATGTGTCAATATTTCAATCATGTATGCCTTGTTATTGACATGTGTCAATATTTCAATCATGTATGCCTTGTTATTGACATGTGTCAATATTTTGATCATCAGTTTGTTACCTCAGATACATTCACACATTCTTCTAACTTATTTCCTGATATGATGGAACTACATATTCACCTTGTGAATACAGTTACACATTACTTTTATCTAAATATGGTGGTGTGTTGGTTTAAGACATTGGTCGGCAAAGTGTGGCTCGGCAAGTCTGCGACGAATCGGGTTTGACTCTCAAAAACATGGTTTTTGACAGGTTCTTGAAAAGAAATGTGGCTCTCAAAAATATTTCAATCATCCTGCTGCTGATTTTTGGTTCTTTTGACCACTGTAATGAGTTTGCCGACCACTTGTTTAAGAGATGGAAAGGCTGCATTTTATTGAAATAGCCATACTATCTTAATTTTATATTATTTAATCATTTGTGTGCATGCCTACTTATTTAAAGCATATCAGTTAGATGGGCTTGCTCCATTCAGTCTTACAATCATAATATAATATCATCGCACAATATATTTTAAAGAACAAAAACCAAGTGAAACCTGAATGTTTCTTAACTTATTATTGGTGCTAGTTTTGTTATCTATAACACTATGAGAAAACTGCACTGTCGACATTATAGCATGGTTAAAAAGGTGATTATGATCTGTAGGCATACAGGTTACAACACTATCTCTTTGTTTTGACTTTTTGCCCCTTGCATTCAAAGTTGATAGGGGTTTCCCTCAGAACAACTTCGGGGCCATTAAATCCCAGAGGCCCCTCGCAGCCACAGGGGTTGCAGGACCCACATGACGGTTCTGGGTTACGCCTATTCGAATGGGTTGGCCCATGAAGTTATACTGCTGTCTGATTTAAAAAAAAAAAGGTTGTTATTGTCATCATATGAAAGTTGACAACATCATGTGACAACATCATGTGACAACATCATGTGACAACATCATGTGACAACATCATGTGACAACATCATGTGACAACATCATGGTCGTGTTAGTGTTTACATTATCAAAATTTGATTTTCAAATCAATAAATAGAAATGATGTGAAACCATTGAGAAAAAAAAACTCGAATCTTTGCTTTTAGTGAACTTGAACAAGTTCAATAAGGTAATTGGTTTGAAAAATGAGTTTCATGCAATTAATTATGTTAACTATGATGTATGCTACCAGTATATGACTAGCATGCCACAAGCATGCTACCAGTATGTGACTAGTATGCCACCAGCATGCTACCAGTATGTGACTAGTATGCCACTAGCATGCTACCAGTATGCTATTAGCATACTACCAGTACGCTATCAGTTTGCTACCAGTATGCTATTAGCATGCTACCAGTATGCTATTAGCATGCTACCAGTATGCTATCAGTTTGCTACCAGTATGCTATTAGCATGCTACCAGTATGCTATCCAGTATGCTATCAGTTGGCTACCAGTATGATATTAGCATTCTACAAGTATGCTATCAGCATGCTATCCAGTATGCTATCAGTATGCTATTAGCATGCTACCAGTATGCTATTAGCATGCTACCAGTATGCTATCAGTATGCTATCAGTATGCTACCAGTATGCTATTAGCATGCTACCAGTATACTATCAGTATGCTACCAGTATGCTATTAGCATGCTATCAGTATGCTACCAGTATGCTTTCAGTATGCTACTAGCACACTGTTCAGTTTCAAGTAAATTAAATAAGCTCAAACAACGATCCTTGAACAAAAGTCGGCATTTCAAAAAAAAAAAAAATATATATATATATATTTTTTTTTAAATGATTGCGTAAAATGAGCGTGATATAGGCCTATATCTAATCTAATCAAACACGCAGGACAGAGTCAGTCCTATTTATATTGTTAATTCATTATAAAGCATCACTGTAAAGGGTCGACGACCTTTGAGTAGAAGGGACGTACTGCATAGTACGTAGTACGGTGGTAAAGTACACAACTTTATCAGCCTGATGATGTCATTCATACGTTTCCACGGAATAGGAGTCGTAACATGTGTGTAGCATGCATGCGCTGTGGAATGCGGGTGGGAGCACCGGTTATGTATATAGCCATAGGTGGGAGTACCGGTTATGTATATAGCCATAGGTGGGAGTACCGGTTATGTATATAGCCATAGGTGGGAGTACCGGTTATGTATATAGCCATAGGTGGGAGTACCGGTTATCTATATAGCCATAGGTGGGAGTACCGGTTATGTATATAGGCATAGGTGGGAGCACCGGTGGTCTATGTAGGTTGAGCATTTTTGGTGTATATAGGTGGGAGCACATGTGAGCTATATAGGCATAGGTGGGAGCACCGGTGGTGTATGTAGGTGGAGCATCGTCGGTGTATATAAATGGGAGCACCGGTGATGTGTATATGTGGGAACACTGGAAGTGTGTGTTGGTAGGGAAGCGTGTGTTGGTAGGAACCCCAGTGATGTGTATACGTGTATCATCGTTGGTACATGTAGGTGGCAGCACTAGTGGTGTGTGTAGGTGTGAGCACTTGTGATGTATATAGGTGGGAGCACTAGGGGTGTGTGTAGTGTGAGCACTAGTAGTGTGTGTGGGCGGTGCTAAACTCCAGATATCGTCCCCCCCCCCAAACTGGCGTAAGTATAACCTCAAAAAGATAAATGAGATGGTGCACGGCCCTGTACCACCGCCTTTTGGCCGTCACAGTGTTGTACAAAGGGACGGGGGCACTAGCATGCATCACCAACTTCCTAAATATATATATATATGATGGTAATCAGGATGTCCCATCACGTCAAATCATTAGTCCCATTCTTTTTTTACAACAAACTAACATTAATATTAATATATTTTCATCCTATTCTCCAAATTTCATTCCTCCCCCCCCCACCTTTCTAATTTTGTTGTTGCACCCCCCTGCTATGTTCTTATCTGCACCCATCCCTTTATTGCTTTGATAATCGCCTTTGTACATATATTAGAATATTCTGACGGCTCGCCAGGATCATGTACATGTATATATTTACTTCCGTTGACAGGAAATACCGTGCAGGTCATGGTCGAGGTAACCAGAGATTCTCAGTTCACGTTTGACTAATGTTGACCTTATTTAATGCTAGCCAGTAGCGACCACATTTAGGACACCGGTCCATTCATCTGTTAATGTCACTCAGCTCAAAGTATTCTCTTTCACTTTAAGTAAATTCTTTGAGACTTCGCCATGTCTGCAACTGCATCTATCGGTGAGACGAATGGCGTGACGGTGCATCCAGTCGTGGAAGTGGACGAACGTTCGAGGTCAAAAAAACTCTGGTGCATAACAAAGGCTAGCGGATTTATTATATGGTCACTGGAGCGTGCATTCTTCAAGTATGTATGAGTTACGGGGCATTTGATTTGGGATTTCGTTTCTGTTTATTTTATTTTTTTTCCCAACACTATTAAGAGCACATATAGGGACTCAGGAACTGAGAAAATAAGATAAAACATTTTAATTTTAAATTACGTTGAAAGCTGTCTCCCCTTTCTTTCCCTTCAATTATTTAGCAAAAAAATGATATATAGGCTCGCTAAGACCTAGTGTGTCCCACACTCATTTGGCATGAAACGGCAACATTGAAGAAACTAATTATAAACACCGATGCAAGTAGACTTTGATTTCGGTGGCGTAGCTAGGGTTAGTGATTCCAAGCCAGGATTATTGACACCCCAGGATTATTGCCACCCCACCTTTCCACAAAAAAGATCGCAACTGACGCTGTGAGTTGTAAAAAATGCCGCCCCTTCATATAAAGGGAAAAAAATCGCAGAAGGGCGTAGCACCCCTCCGCTATCTTAACCTACGCCACTTGGTAAGTTCATTAGACCTACCAATTAGATTTCATTAAATTGAACTCTTTTTAAACTATTTACTCTTATCTTCACTCTCAATTTATTGTCTAAGGCACAATCGTTTTCAACCTTTTTTTTTTACCACTTTTTTACCATTGTTTTCACCACTATCACGGATCGTCTGTGGTAGCCGTCCATTAATGGCGCCACGATAACGTTGTTTCCACGTAGGGCTTTGGCCTGCCTCACCACTTCCTTCTACTCAGATCTTCCATCCTCGTGGCGCTACAGCCCATTTAGGGCTTTGGCCTGCCTCACCACTTCCACTCAGACCAAACTGATGCATTTCTTTTCAATGTTTGGAATCCAAGTAGCTGTAGATCCCTCTCCACATTATGCATCCATCTAACCCTAGGTCTGTCTTTGAGCCGTTTTCCACTGGGGTTTTGGTGGTGCACCCTATTCACTCCACTGTCGTGGGATCCTGATATAGTCTATACATTTCCTGGTTGGTTCGTATTCTCTATCATCCTTTGTTAGTCCGTATATTTTCGGCAGTTAGTTTTCTCAGTATTTTGTTTGTAACATGTAACAGGCAAATGTATCTGTAGTATGTGCATTAGAGTTTGGAACCTTTTTTGTGTATCGGGGTTGTCGTGCCGTTTCCAATTTTGTTGGAATTGTCTCTTCTTTCCAAAAGTTACAAGTTTATGATTCTGATTGTGCAGTTCTCTGCTTCCATATTTAATAAGTTCTGCTGTGATGACGTTTTCTCCGGGGGCTTTGTGGTTTTTCATACAATTGTTTACTTCTGAAGTTTCTTCCAAACTTGGGGAGTTTATTAAAGCGTCTGATCCTCTGAGTGGTGGTTGATAATCTTCGTCTTTTCCATTGTCTGCATTTAGTATTCTCTAAAAATATTCAGCCCACCTCTCCAGTACTTGACTATTTTCCATCCGTAATTGATTCTCCATCACTGCTCTCACTCATTTGAGTTCTGGCTTGGTATCCACTCTTTTCGTCTTTTAAATTTTAACTGCATTCGTTATCAAAACAGCCTACCATACTGTTGGTTTGCTGCAATCCAGCTACTCTCTCGGCTGATCTTTTCATAGCATTTTAAAAATCTTATTCCATTGTCCATTAATGTAGTTTCCCTGTTTAGTTCATCCCGTGATGCTTCTAGTTGTGATGTGACTTACTTTTGGTAAGCTTTTGTGGTTAACGGGTCTTTGGTAAGTTTTTGGTACTCATTCACGTATGGTTTTTCTCTTTGATTTCGGCCATCGTGAATTATGCTTATTCTCTGCTTATGTTTAATGCTAACAAGTAAATGGTCAGTTCTGCATCTGCTCCTCGATACCTTATGTCTAGTACGTCTGATCCATGTCTCCGATCGATTAGAACATGGTCGTTTTGGTTGTGAGTGATTCCATCTGATGAGTTCAACGTAACTTTATGTATATTTTTGTTTGAAAACTTGGTGCTGGTAACTGTCAATACTGTCATCCCTTTTCCTTAAGCAAAGCATTTGAGTCGGATCCCATTGTCATAGGATTCTTCATGGCAAGACTTTGCTTGCCAATATTTGGCATAAATACTTTTTCTTTCACTATGTTGGCATTGAAGTTGCCAATCATTTTAATATGTCGCGGTGCCTAATCGTAGATCTTTTCCAGCGTCTCGTGAATTGATTCTTTCATTTAACTTTCTGTATTCTTACACAAAGAACACAATTTTCATTCTCTGGTTTAAAACCTATAACTGCAGTGCGCGGGCTTCTTTCTTCAAAACAAATCATGTTCAAGAGTGTTCATGTTGTTGTCACTATGAAATATGGAGTAGTCCTTTGTCTTGACGATGTCTACATTTCCCCGTCAAATGTCTTGCAATGCAGCAATAGAGATTTTATATTTAACTAGTTGATCTATTAGGTTGACCGAGGCTCCTGCTTATTGCATTACAAGTCGCAATCCCAAACTCTCATGTCGATTTCCAGCCTAAGGTCGACTTCCATTAGAATCAATCTGTTTTATTTTGTTGTTAGGCTTTCGTAACATTTATTAATATTATTTTTTTTTACATGGCCGCATTGTTAGCCCTGCACACAGCGTCTGGGGGAGTTCCCACATATAGCTCTCTAGGTAGCTGCCTTAATTTTCGGGTAAAGTTCCTTATACGAGGATCCCTCCACGGCGGTAGGTTCTGATTTTGGTCCGCCCTGGGTATTTTATTTCCCCAGTACCCGTCACATCTGGTGGACTTTCCCCAAACCGTCAACTGGGGAGGCACTCGAAGGAAAATCAGTACCCACGTCCAAGTACGAAGTATTGTGATGGTGTCTAAACACTGAGCCCTATTTGTGACCCTGGGGGAGGACGGGATAAGAAATACACCCAAGCTCGCATCAGTGACCCATTACGATTTTCACTTTTAATTGTAATCAGTAGCATTTTTATTTGCATACTGGTGAAGGGTGTCACGCAAAGTTTAATATTTTAACTAACACGTATCCGCATCTGAATTCTGTATATTACTGATCATATGTGGAGAAATTCGTGGTTGAAAAAAACTAACAGCCGCGTCATTTAGCTAGTTACACAAGCCTAGTACACGTGCATCATTTAGCTAGTTACACAAGCCTAGTACACGTGCATCATTTAGCTAGTTACACAAGCCTAGTACACGTGCATCATTTAGCTAGTTACACAAGCCTAGTACACGTGCATCATTTAGCTAGTTACACAAGCCTAGTACACGTGCATCATTTAGCTAGTTACACAAGCCTAGTACACGTGCATCATTTAGCTAGTTGCACAAGCCTAGTACATGTGCATCATTTAGCTAGTTACACAAGCCTAGTACACGTGCATCATTTAAGTAGTTGCACAAGATTAGTACACGTGCGTCATTTAGCTAGTTGCACAAGCCTAGTACACGTGCGTCATTTAGCTAGTTACACAAGCCTAGTACACGTGCATCATTTAGCTAGTTAGACAAGCCTAGTACACGTGCGTCATTTAGCTAATTACACAAGCCTAGTACATGTGCATCATTTAGCTAATTACACAAGCCTAGTACACGTGCGTCATTTAGCTAGTTACACAAGCCTAGTACACGTGCATCATTTAGCTAGTTACACAAGCCTAGTACACGTGCGTCATTTAGCTATTACCCAAGCCTAGTACACATGCATCATTTAGCTAGTTAAACAAGCCTAGTACACGTGCGTCATTTAGCTAGTTACACAAGCCTAGTACACGTGCATCATTTAGCTAGTTACACAAGCCTAGTACACGTGCGTCATTTAGCTAATTACACAAGCCTAGTACACGCGCGTCATTTAGCTAGTTACACAAGCCTAGTACACGTGCGTCATTTAGCTAATTACACAAGCCTAGTACACGCGCGTCATTTAGCTATTACCCAAGCCTAGTACACATGCATCATTTAGCTAGTTAAACAAGCCTAGTACACGTGCGTCATTTAGCTAGTTGCACAAGCCTAGTACACGTGCGTCATTTAGCTAGTTACACAAACCTAGTACAGGTGCGTCATGCAAGCCTAGTACACGTGCATCATTTAGCTAGTTACACAAACCTAGTACAGGTGCGTCATGCAAGCCTAGTACACGTGCGTCATTTAGCTATTACCGAAGCCTAGTACACGCGCGTCATGTGATATCACTGCTGGTTTTAGACGGAATGTGGGAAAACGCAATTGAAGCATTGAAAAGAAATACGACATAAGAGATGGGGGCCGGCTAAAACTAAAATTAGTCAAAGTCTACTTCCATCAAATGAGTGTAGGGCACCAGAGGCAAGCAAGCGCCCCTGTCCCCGATAGAGTGGTTCGGCCTTGGATACGTCTTTTAATTATCCTTTAATGTTTAAACTAGGTGTATCCGCCTTCCGAAAATGACAGCCTGTGTTTTCTAGGAAGAAAATGTTGGGTTTTTTGGTTGTTGTTGTTTTTTTTAGTCAAATTAGGTGTAAAAGTAATGGGTTTATTGAGACCCGGATGCTGGCTATTTCACTTCCTTAAAGAACGTTTGTTCTCAATGAGAATATAGATGTTGGCCAAACTTTTTACTTGATTATTTGCTCTTTCATCGTAATTTATACCAAGATTAAGATTATCAAATAATCTGATGGTCCTCCCTCTCTATAACCCACTCTTTCATCGTAATTTATACCAAGATTAAGATGATCCAATAATCTGATGGTCCTCCCTCTCTATAACCCACTCTTTCATCGTAATTTATACCAAGATGATCAAATAATCTGATGGTCCTCCCTCTCTATAACCCACTCTTTCATCGTAATTTATACCAAGATGATCAAATAATCTGATGGTCCTCCCTCTCTATAACCCATAACTACCTGAAACCTTTCCTACTCAACACTCACCCCTAGGGGCTATCCATAAAGTACGCCACGCTCCAGAGGGGGGAGGGAGTGTAAGAAAGTGTGACAGTTTGTGAAAAGGGGGGAGGGGGGTCATGCCATGTGTGGCGTCACACATTTATTTTTTTTAAATTTTATTTCTAATTATTTTTTTTTATTATTTTAGTGGAATTTAATAGCTTTAAAAATAATTGTCAAAAATTTTGTGTATCATTTGAATTAGTTTGATGTCAAAATAGCATGAAATGCGTATCTCCTGAATGTGTTGTTCACGATTCCTCTCGCTAGGACCGCTGCTAGTATGCTGTTGCAAAGCTTTGTTTTATGTATAGCCTTGCTTTCGTCTTTCCTGAAGTATTATTTCTATGTTGTCAAATGCATAATTATTTCACTGTCCTTTTTATTATTTAATCATTTGGTGAGGTCAAGTTTCTCTAATATACTTCTTAACCTGTGTAAAAAGATTGCATAATCGGAAGATTATCTAAAACTTGACCTCACCTATTGTAAATGAAAAAGCAGCAGATAAATGATGTGTATTATATAATTGTCTAGTCTAATTTTTGTAATTTTTGCTTTCAAATTCAATCTAGATTAAGTTACTGCTTCAATGAATAACTGTGACAACTGTTGACAATTAACTATTCTACTATTTAAAGTTCATTTAAATAATGTAATAGTGGAAATTAAGTGGAAATTTTATATATTTTCAAACAGTTTAATAGGGAAGTGTGTTTTAGATTAAATTTTAATTAGGTGCTAATTTTTTTTTTTAATTTTGTTCGAAAGTGTGACGTACTTTGGGGTGGGGGTTCCAAGATTTGTGACAGGGAGGGAGGTAAAAATGGTCAAAAATAGCCTGACATACTTTATGGACGGCCCCCTTTCCCCATCCCCCCCTACCTTTTTCCCCCACATTCTTTTCCCCTCTTTTAACCATGAAGTCAAAGTTTTTATTTCTTTTTTTTTTTTAAATCCACTTTTCCCCCACGTCTATCCTCCCTGACATCATCTACTTCATCCTCTCAATATGTAATAACATATCATACCCCCTCCCACCAATCAATGTCACCAAATAAAAGCCTAATGGAACAGATTTTGAGTGATATAAAATCTGCTTCAATATATTTTCCATCATATTCCAGTGTTGGCCTCTTCGTGGGGAAATACCCGATTCTAACCTTGGTCATTATTTTGATCATGTGCGGCCTGTGTAGTGTCGGCCTGAAGACCTTCCACGAGACGCAAGAACAGGAAAAACTCTGGGTGCCCCAGTCGTCTCGGCTCATCAACGAGAAGGCCTGGGTGGACAGAATGTTTCCACAGGAGACGAGGTTCGTCTCGTACCTGGCTGTGCAACCTGGTGGGGATATCCTGACACCTGAGTTTATAAGTGGGGTCAGTTTTTTTAAAGTTATGAATTAAGTTTATAGGTAGATCTATTATAAGTCCTCTAATTACTGTCACAGTATGGTATATTTATATGTATATATAATTATCTATTTAATCATCTTTCTCAAACACTTAATTGTCTTAATACTTAAATGAATTTCAATCAATTCTGATGCTTGCCTAAAACTAAGTTTAAAATTAAATTTTTGGCCTCATGTTCTCACTATTTTTTGTTTTTTCTGAAATTTTATTATCTTCAGCCATAACTACCGTATTTATTGGCGTATAACACAAATGTGTGCGTGTTATACGCCAATATAATTTTTATATTTATTTTTTTCTGAAATTTCCTTCTAAAATTGAGATGCGTGTTATACGCCGGGGCGTGTTATACGCCAATAAATACGGTTATCTTATTTATTCTTATAATTTTTCTAATGAAACATTAGTCCGTCCGATTTATCTTAAGACATGTCTGTATCTGTTTTATGGAAATGATCAAAAGTGCTAACCACAACAATTTATTTCAGTTGCTTGATTATCTTATAGATTCTCAAAATATTCAAGTCAATGGAAGGAAACTTAATGATTTATGCCTGCAGTAAGTCAAGTTATTCAATATTTTTTTTAAGTTGCAATAAAACCTTGTCAAGTATTTATAATTATATTTATATTATTCAATTGCCAATACTGAATAACTTAAAGATCTAACTCACACATATTTTTGCGAACAGCATGTAATATTTACCGACGCAAATAATCTTACTCTGTAACATATTCAGCCTAATATTAAAAAAAAAGCCGATTTGACTCACAATATTTCATTCTTTAGGAACCATATTATTATCTACCACACAGAGTTGGTTACTGGATATTTGTTTGAAAGAAATTTCGTCGAAAGAAATTTGGTCAAATGTTTTTTCAGTTCACACGTTAAAATTTTCGTTAAATTTCTTTTTTAATGCACTATACTATAAAGTAAAACAAATTTGCGGATATGCACAGAGTTCTATACAATCTTTGCATAAATTAAATAGTAAGAGATAAAATAAGTAGATATTAATTTTTCTGCCCTTCTCTTCCTTCTTCCATCTTCTCTCTTTCCTCGTTCCTTTTTCCTGCACCATTATCCACTCTGTCCCTCTCATTTTCTTTCTATTCCTCTTTCTTTCCCCCATACTTCCCAGCTACACCATTCTTTTACATTTTATACACATTTTTTTCCTCAACTGTTGAGCTCTTAACGAAAAGCAACTCAATATCATTTTGTACTAAGTTTTGCCCACAGTAGGTACACCATAAAACTATAGACCAATAGCAGATGCTTACACACATTGACTGTAACAAATTTATGACAGCCAAAAGAGAGTTAAATATTGATGATTTAAACCAATACCTTATAAACGTTTGTAAATTTAGAATTTCATATTTCAAAGTGTCCACTGCAAAATATGTCTCAAGATTATTTTGTGAAATTGCATTCTATTTTATTAAGGGTTGGTCCATTTTGCTATATCTCAAGTCTCCTGGAATTCTGGAAGTTCAATCAAACAATTATAAAAGGGCTTTCAAAAACTGACATAATCAATGCAATCAACCTTTCAACCAAGGGGTAAGTAGATAAAATTAAACTGTATTTTAAAAAATATGTCATGTTAATAAAAATTGAAGTCACATTATTCCAAAAATAAATGTCTTACATGGAAAGGTAAGCAAAATCAATTGCAATAAGCAAAAAATTTTTAAGTAACTCATAGTAAAGATAATGCAAAATATTGTTGCCATGATCACCAAGTATTTTTTTAAAAGGTACATTAAGCACTAGTTTACAGGTTAGCTAGAAATATAAAAAAAAATTAAAAATTTTATGGGTATTTTTAAAACACCTCTCATAACTCATATATAAGTCAATAATTTTTTAAATAGTCCAATAACAGGTGTAAATATAGAAAGCTTGCTTGGTGGAACCATTGTTAGAGATGAGTCTGGGAAAATATTTAGAGCTGAGGCAACTTTGATGACTTGGGTTTTGGTGAAAGAAGAGGATGTAAGTACAACATTGTAGATTTTTTTAGGAAAAAAATAAATAAATTTGGCTAATCAATTAAAGGGTATTTCATTTATTTAAGTACCACAGGAGTGGTCATGAAGAGCCTGGAAGATATATTTTATCTTTGTACAGGTTGGAGAATTTCCACAGCTACCTGGACCCTGTCCATATACTGTGTTAAGAGGCAGCTGGGCTCAACATTAAGTTAACACGAGCAGTAGGCCCTTGTAGTTACATTAAGTATTATAAAATCATAGAACTTTTAATGCAATGAATATTCAGTCTTTTAAATGAATCCACCGTTTGTATTGTTATCTTTCAGACCTCAGATGCAGCTGCATGGGAAAAGAAAATGATTGATTTTGCTCAGAAAGGCAAGCCTGGCATCAATAAGACGATGGTCTTTGCCTCCAGAAGGTAAACTGCCAAATGGCATTGGATATTGTTTAGTTATCACTAACTGATTATGTCCCAAGCACATGGAACTTTTTTGTTATGTATTGTTAACATGCTTCAATCTTTTTGACCCACAGTTTTGATGATGAAGGATACGGAGCCATAAACAAGGACATAAAATTACTAGCTATGGGCTTCATCGTTGTATTCATATTTGTGATGGTCTCCCTTGGCAAGTTTGACTTACTTCAGCAAAAGGTAAGTACCAGTCAAACAAGGTTGGAAAAACACTGAAATATATGGAGAGTCCATTCAAATTTAACCTTGTTGCCCTGTTTAAACAAAGTCCTGGAAAAAACACTTAGATACCATTAAAAAAATGTTTATTTTGATATAATTTAATTTGATAGTAAACAAAATATGAGATTGACCAGGAAATATAAGACTGCTATTGTCAAAAAGTTATAGGCCTACCACTGTCAACAGATTTTAACTTCTATACATGATCATGTGAAACACTAATAAATAATAATATTGTGTAATCGACTTAACTATAAATAAAGTAAGGTCAATAATATATATACATATTTTTTTTGGCCTTAAAGTTAATTATTATATGTATACATTTTGAATCAATAAACTTCAGTTAACTGAACCATTCATGAAGAACTTGACTGTTTTTATCCAAAAACAAAAATTAACTTAATTTCATGATATGTCCTTTGTTGATATTAAAATAACGACGACTAGATCTTTTCATTTTCCAGATCTATGTCTCACTTGTTGGTATGCTCTGTATTGGCCTATCCATCTTGGTAGCCAATGGCCTTGGTACAGCAATGGGTCTCCTTTACAGCCCAATTCAATCCATGTTGCCTTTTTTATTACTTGGTAATGTTCTTGTGTTTCTCATAAATTTAAAAATAGAAACAGAAAACAGTATTAAACTATTTATAAACAATTTTCAAAGTCATTGAAGGATATTGATTACATTTTAACATGCAGTCATGAGTTAAATCTAGAAAGATAAAGGCTAATACAAGATGTTTTTTTAACAAATGAGGAAAATTAATTAAAATTGCTTTCCAGGGCACCTGAATTTTTCCTTTTTAGTTGTATTTAAGAGAAAAATTACTATTGTGAAATTTCAATAACCTGATTTTTATTTACTAATAAAAATACGCAAATATTATTAATGGCGTTATTACTAACAACAATTTTCACCAATCTTTCTATTGCTCCTATTAACTATGTAAAATTGTTTTCAAAAGGTGTTGGTGTTGATGACATGTTTGTTATAGTTGAGACATGGAAAAATCTGAGCCCAGTTGAACAAAAATTGGATATTCCTAATAAGTTAGCTCTGACCTTGAGCAATGCAGGTGTATCTGTAACAGTAACTTCAGTTACAGACATCATGGCTTTTGGAATTGGTGCTACAACAGTAAGTATCTGTAGGCCTATTTAAAATGACCTTAAACATTTTTCATCTTTTTATGGCACTTTCATTACTGCTAACAAATGCAATTTTTAAAAATCACCATTAAATAGTGTATTAAATACCACTGGTCAGATTCTCATATTTGGCATGCTGGTTATAATAAATAAAACAATTGGTTGGTACCATGCTCATCACTTCAATCAGCCATTATGTTGCCCAAAAGCAAATTAATTGGTTTGGCACTGCAAACTGAAATTGCAAGCCTCCAATAGCAGGTACCCTGTTTTCAGGGCCGGAGGAAGACAGTGCCGGCTACTATTCTACTGTGTAAAGCAGTGTTTCTTAAATGATTGTCTGCGAATAAAAAGAAAATGTGATTAACAAATTTGGCATCAATTTCAAAACATGTTCACTGGTCCGCCAAACTTTTAAAAGTTTGGGAAACACTGGTGTAAAGGACACCCTCAAAGCCCACAATATGAATTTCAGTAGTCCTCATACCTTGTGACAGGTGGCCAAATGTACCTCCCATTGCAACATTTCAATTTGGAAAAAGAAGCCTATGCTAGCTGAATGAAATAAAATTATTTTTGATTGCAAAAAAAAATAAATTGCTAGGTCTATTTTTACGTAATAAAAAATTTTTAAACTGTGAATATTTCTATAATCAAAGATTATTTATTCATGCAGAAACTGGAAAGATTAACATCTCATCAACTGCCAATTTTCTGATGTTCCAGGTCATCCCTGCTCTCAGTTCTTTCTGTATTTATGCATCTATTGGAATATTTGTTTTGTTTGGTCTGGTGTCCACACTTTTTGTTGCTGCATTAGCCTTGGATGAGCGAAGACGAAGAGCAGGTCTAGATGCTTGCATTTTTTGTTATCGTCATCCAGAACCTTACACATACAACAAGTGCAGCTCTAGTAATTCATTTCTACAGATATTTTTTGTCAATTTCTATGGACCATTCCTTATGAAATTTCCAGTTAAGGTAGAGAAACTATTATGTTGTTTTTAAAAAAGGTTATTAAATAATTTAATACAACTTTTAGCAAACATTTTGTTGTCTACTTACTATTTTGAGACTCGGTTATAAATCTCTTATTCCTGCATAACTGTTATAATTATATCTCTTATTTAGTTAAAGCATCTTGGTGCAAGTATATTATTTTTTTATCTCAGGTATTTTAAAAAATACCTTTTATTCCATTTATAATGAAAGGATACTTTTCCAAATCTGATATATTTAAAAAATATATCCACTGTAAAGGCAGTGCTCTTTTTTTAAACTTTTACATCTGATGCAAAAATCATTTGAACCAATGTCATTTCAATGCAAAATAATCTGTTTGCAAAAATAACTTGGTATACTAATTTTTTTTTTTTTAATTACTTTTAAAATTATTTTTTTTTTTTAAATGCCAAAAGTATCCAAATTCTTTATTTCCCCTCAGGTCGTCACAATATTGCTTACCCTGGCCATAGCTGGACTTGGACTTTGGCGAGCAATACAAATGAAACAAGATTTTGATCTCATTAATTATATTCCTAAAGATTCTTATGCACATTCCTATTCCCGTGGGAAACAGTATTATTTTAATAGACACGGGATGGAAACCAATATTTATTGTGGTCAGTATGTTTTGGGGTTGTTTTTTTTATTGTCAATTAATAATGACAGCTAATTTAACAGTAGGGATATTTTTGGGGGTCTCAGGGCTACCTGTATCATATTTATTTAATTACTATAATAAAATCTGTATTTGTGTCAGTCTTTTGTGTTAGAAATATGTTTAATTTATCTTCATCAGGTGGCTTTGACTACTTTAAAGAGAGAGAGGCTTTAAAACAGATGATGGATCAGATTTCAAAAAGTGACAAAATTGAGGCTGGATCTATAAATTCATGGTTCATGGCCTATGATTCTTACCTGCAAAAAACAGGTATGTGGAATCTGTTTCTGTATCACTCTTACCTGCAACAATCAGCTGTTTTTTTGTTGTTTTTTTTGGGTTGTTTTTTTTTTTTTTTTTTTTTTGGGGGGTGGGGGGGGGTTTTGTTGTTGTTTTTTTACATTTTGAAATAAATGATTGATTACTTGCTTTGTTTTGGTTGAATCGTTAAGAAACACAAAAATAAAATGTCGGCCCAATAGTTTTTAATTTCCATTAAAATCATTTAATATATGAATTTTGTATTTACTTTGAGTTATCAGTTTCTTTAGATTATATCATCTGTGTTGTCCATGCAGTCAGATTTTAATTTATTTAAAAAGTATTCATGAAGAAGCAGGAACCTATCATGGGGGGTAATTTTGAATTAAATATTATTATAATGGGTGATTTGACCTTTAGGTTATTATGAATTATATTCTGATGTTAAAAATGAAAGTGAAGCATGAAAAAATATTAAATTATCAGTGTACTTAATGACCTCAGTTATTTATTTTTTTTCCCTTCATTTTTCATTCAGGCCTGAATATTTCAAATGCTGATGAATACAATGAGAAACTGTTCCATTTTTTGCTATCTCCCTCTGGACAAAGGCTTACATCTTTCGTCAAATTCAACTCTACTAAACCACCAGTTTCTATTGTGGTAAGTGTGAAACCAATTCAGCTGGTAGAAGTGACCATATAAATATGAGATGTATTAGTTAAAGTACACTATGCAAATTGTACAACGTAACAAAAGTTATATTTTAAAAAATTATTTTTAAAAAAATAATTTCAATTTAGAAATGTAAACAAAGACAAATTTGGAAATTGCACTGACAGTTATTACTGTAAAATTGTTGTCCTCAAGCATTCCATATAGTTTTTGATTTACCAGCTTAACTCTTTCCAAGCCGAACGACGATATATCGTCAATTTGACGGGCTGCATTTTTGCCAATCGATATATTGTCAAAATAAATACATTTTCAAAATGTAAAATGCATTCTGATCAAAAATAGATATTCTTTCTGAGGATTGAATCAGAATAGGATATCAGCTACACAGATCATATACTAGTCTGATAACTTCAGATTTGGTGCGCATTTTAAAAAAAAACATTTTTTAATTGATCTCATATTACCAATAAAATTTATTGTCATATTTTTGTATCTTTTACATATTATCATTCTTTGTTTAATTTCCTTAATTTAATATGAAATACAGCCATTTTGCTAACAAAAAGATTTTCAAAATTCATTAACTGATATGTTAATTGTTAAAAATGTTCATTGGCCGGAAACTGGTCTGGCGCAAATGTGGTCACCTCACTGGCATGGAAAGAGTGAAGTTGCTACACTAAATAGAATTATTGCCTTCTTGTTAGATTATTGATCAACAAGGTACTAACAAGCATTCAGTCATTATGTTAATTTTAGGCATCTTACATGACAATGACTCACACCCGTCAACTGGATTCTCAACATGATGTCATGGCGATGGATGCTCTAAGAGATATCATAGATTCATACAATTTACCCAAGTTCCATGGAAAAAACATGCCAATCCAAATGTGCTTTGCCTACTCAAGAGACTACATGACCTGTGAGACTAATAAGGTAATGAAAGAAAGAGCATATAAAGCCTTTATCCGTCCTATTTTAGATTATGCATCTTCAGTCTGGGACCCATTTACCCAGAAGAGCATTGACAGGTTGGAGGCGGTCCAGCGACGAGCAGCACACTTTGTCCTAAACCGCTACAGGAATACCTCTAGTGTTGGCAGCATGCTAGAAACACTAGGCTGGTCACCATTGGAGAAACGACGACGACAATACAGGCTCTCCATGATGTACAAGATAAATAATGGGCTGGTCCACTGTTCCAGTATTAAACAGAAACTCGTCCCTCTCCCCCATAGACAGCGACGAGGCCATGACAGGCAATTCAGGCTCATACCAGCAAGAAGCCAGTATAGGAGCTGCTCATTCCTGCCCAAGACAATCAGGGACTGGAACCATCTTTCAAAAGGAACAGTTGAGGCGACAACACTAGACACATTTGTGTCTATTGCCTCAAGCCTTCAAACCCCTAGTGCATGATTTCCTCATCAACACCAGTAACAGAAACATTGCAAATCCCATCTACATGCATAGGAGCCAAAATGATCAATAAATTGATCGTGGGCCCTTAAGATATAGAAGAGATGAAGAAACATTTATTGACATTAAAGTTAATCAGAGAAACTGAATGGTAAAAGAATGGGTAAGATTACATTATACTTTAAAATCTATTACTTTCCACAATAATTCAGTGGTTTTACTGGATAACAAATATAGTTCCTATTAACTGTCAGGTATTTTATAATTGGAAATTATTTGAAAATAATTGTACTTGATCATCTTTGTTGGGTGTTTTTAAGAATGCATGATTTAAAAAATGTGAGCCTATAGCTTTTTAGTTTTAAAAAATTGTAGTATTTTCTTTAAAATGTTTCGTGTTGATATAATAGCTGTTTTCTTTTTCCAGGTATTACTAGGAGAACTGTATCGTAACCTGGGTCTTTCAGCGGCTTGTGTTTTTGCAGTCACAGTTATCTTAATAGCCAACTTGTGGACAAGTTTCTTGGTGTTTATATGTGTGGTTTTCACAGTGGTAAGTATACTTTCTTATTTTAGGCCTACTCTAAACATAATTTAAACTTTGTAGTTTTCATTGTAACTTATTAGTTAAGGCACCAGTCTCTGTCTCTATTATCATCATTTTGTGTGCTGTAAGGGGTCATCCATACAGTATGTATGCTGTTAAATATCCACTTACATAGAATAGGGCTTGGCTTATTTTTAAAACTTCAGCACAGTTATTTTTAGCCACCACCTATTAGACTTGATGGCTTGACCTTGAAACTGACATCACCCAGTGATTGTGCTGTCACTTTTTCCCTGCCCGCCCCTGTTCTGGCTGGAGAATATTTTGTTTAAAATCGAATGGGTTCCATCTGTTCTCAAGAATGCCAATAGGTGACGCAATTTCTAGATTTTCTGTACTAGACGTTATGATTTAATTCCTATATAAAGCCTGCTAGGTTTCTAAGCTGATAGACTTACTGAAAGATAGACTTAGCAATACTTAGAAATGGACATATGTGATGTTATATTATTTTGTGTATAAATTAATATTTCTTTTTTGAGGATTATACCTTTTTCCACTTGCTTTAAGTTGGTACACTTTTTGCTTCTACTTCTGTATTCAAATTTTTATTTGTGTAGAAATTGATATATATAATTCAATTTAATTTTAGTATTACTTGCTTTGGTGTTGTTTTTGCTTGCATACTGTTAGATCAGTCTCTTGTTATGTATTGTTTTTATCTATAGGCCAACTATTAACACAGATTTAATCTCTATAACCATAACTCTACATTTTTGTGATTTTGTGATTAAATTCTAGAACATGTATCTAATTTGTGTTACACATTTGTGATGAAGCAGTTTGGCAGGGAAAAGAAATGTACTGAAATAGCTTGTCATAATTTATGCTTGGCTCTTACCAAATTTAGGTTTTCACCAGGCGCACTACATCAAATTCGAACAAATACATTTTTTCGAGATAGCCATTACATTTTTTATTAAATAAAGGGTTGCCCCTTTCACAAAAGGGTTGCCCCTTTCACATGGCCCTGCCCTATGACAACATCACTCCACATGGTGATGTAGGGCACACTTTGGGAATCACTGTTTTTTTATGTCAGTCTTTTTTTGTGGGATGGGGGCTTGTATTGTAAGCTCATTGTACATACGCATAGGAGATGTTTACAAAAAGTATGAGTGTAACAGGGGGTGGGTGTTAAAATATGACTTTTTAACTTACTATGTAGATGGCCCTTTACTGAGCTAATAGGCTTTGTCATTTCTAAGACTGGAAAACGTCATAGCGTACTATTTTTAGAAGGTCTGCGGACAAATATTGCTTAAAACATGGCAGCTTATAGTGTGTTTCAGCATATCGTTCGGACGATCCTTGTCCTAGAGTTACTGTTACATATGACGTTCACGCAATGAAGTCGCATATGAGAAAACAGTTTTAAAAAAAAATGTGTAAAATATTTCGTAAAATAGAGTTGTAAACAAGTTTCAGGGACACTTCGCTACATAGTAATACTGAACAGTGTTGACATTTTGTCCGCGCTGAGTGCCCGGATGATCAGTAATGGTGACATCAGTTCTATTAATAGATTTACGCCATTAAATGACAAGCCCTATTAACAAAAATTTAAATTATTCTTACTAATTATTAAATCTTATGTAACAATTTTTTTAAATCAATCATTAGATTGTATATAATGCATTCTTATGTTGCAGATTGATGTATGTGGTGTTCTAGAAATTTGGGGCACAACCATTGACACAGCCAGTAGTATTTTACTAACCCTTTCAGTAGGATTGGCTGTGGATTACTCAGCTCACATAGGACACACTTTCATGACTATAAAGGGATCGCGAAACAGTATGTACAATTTTTGTGTATGCTGCCAGCTTAACGGAAAAGATTAAACGGTTAACTATGATAAGCCACTGGCCATGAGTCGATGTGAGCACCATGTTTGTTTCATAGTAAAACCAGATATATTTTTACATTCCTACTTTTGTTTTTGTTTGAGATTTTTTTTACCAACAGGAAGTTAATTAAAAACCACATGGGACAGTGAAAATGTAAAAAAAAAAAAACATTTTACATTGTCATATTTAGTGCATTTTGATGGTGATTAGCAAGTATTTTTCATGACGACTAGCTATTAGGCTACCAAATTCAAACATACCAGTGCTAGGGATATGTTTATTCAATTGTGGATTTGCCTAAATTTGGGAATCTTTTCTAATTTGGTTTAGATGTGATTGCATAAATTATTAGAAGGCAGTGTCTACACATCCAGCGACTGAACAAATACTGCAGGGGATATTCTTCCGGTGGGCATGTCACATGACCAATATGTGTACATATATTAGCCTGATCCCTAGATAATAATAAATACTGGGTTAATATTTTCAAAAGCTCTGAGATACATTAAGTGCATTAAAAGCTTTTGACTTTGAATTAAAACCATTAGGTCTATTTGCATCAGACTCTTCAAAAAAAAAAATCCATTATCTTGGCTCCAATATTTTATAAAGCTCTACTTACTAGCCTCACTATAAAATATGAACCAAACAAAATAAGACCAATACTTGCCAGTAGTCTTTCAATAGATCTATGTCAAAAACATTTTATTTTAGGCTATTAATATTGCGTGAGAAGTAGGCTACCCCAACAGCACATTATATTGGCCCTACATTAAAATGTAGGGTCTATTTCTTTGTGAACATCAACCTCCCTGCCTTAATTATGTATCACCCCCACTATCATTTTTATCCTTTCTCTCTCGCTGTCAGTATTTATTCCTTCTAGTATGCATTGCTTACCCTACCCCCCTTTTTTATTTGTACCCTACCCAAGTATTTTTTTTCTATTATTTGTTTACAAGATAAAGTAAATTACTTGATAGCTTTTAACAATTGTATTGAATTATATGGTAATAGTTAATACAACAGCACATAAACTAATTTTTATGTTGATTTATATATTTGAACTACTAATATTTTTTACTTGGTTTTTCACAAGTTCTATAGCTTTTTATTTACGATTTTTAAAGCTTTATTTAATTCTTTTATAAATTTAATAATTTATGTATAATTCTAAGAACAGTAAGTCAGTAAGATTGTGGATACCATACCACATTTGTAGCTTTTAATAAGTAATCTAAATGAAATTAAATAATATTTAAAGATCCCATTGAATACAATACATAGAACAAACTCAATTTTTTTCAGGGTTGTCACTTTTTTGAAAGCTAAGATTTATTTTTAGGCAAACAAGAGCAAAACTGATTTTACACAAAAAAATTCCAAGGGAGACAAAAGACAATTTTTTACATTAATTAATAGGCAAAGGTAAAATTATTTATCCATTAAGTCATTAAGGAAAACTTTTCTAAAAAATTATAAAAACATCACAGCAAATCAACCCAGTATGTGTGATGCACTGTAGTGTTGCACATACTTCAGTGAAATGAATTAAACTTGTTGCCCACATGCATCTCTGATAAGGCTAACGGACAAATATGTCACGCAACTTTGTTATGGCGGTCATTTGTCTAGGTCGCCGGACGAATATCTTGAACTTATTTGTCCGGTCGCTGTACATGTAGACACTTTGTTATTAGAAATGTAAATAATTAAATTTTGGAAAATTCAAATTAAGGAAATATATTTACATTTTAAAATTGCTATGACAATATAATGCAAAAGCTAATAATGCAAGAAAATGGTTTATTAAATCCTTTATCTAAATTTTATAAGTTGAAATTCCAGAGGATATGGTCAAACTCATTGAAAATAAAATGCTTCTTATTTCATTGAGTTTCCCACACATTTAATAGTATTTTAAAATTCCTCTTCGATTTTAGATAGAGCACTTGTTACATTAAAACATATTGGACCAGCTGTTTTTAATGGTGGCATCAGTACATTCCTTGCCTTTGTCCTGTTGGCAGACAGTTCAAGCTTTGGTTTTCAGATGTTCTTTAGAGTATGTCTTTTATTGACCTATGTCTTAAGTTTTGTCTCTCTATTATTCTTTAATAATTACAATATTATAGCTCATTTATAATACATAAAAATGACTTGAAAGACTAATGAAAAAGAAATGAGTCATCATGTCATGTACTCCATTTTAATGTAATATTTTGTCTATAGGTTTTCTCAACTGTAGTTGTCTTTGGCTTGTATCACGGCCTGGCATTCTTGCCAGTTATTTTGAGCTTGTTTGGACCCAATGCATACAGACATGCAAATGAGATTCCTGATGGTGTAAATTTGATTACTGATGAATGTGTTTCTGACAAGAAACAGGTGGGGGATGAAATGCTCACTGCAGATGGAGAACTCAAGGTTTTCAGCTTTAATCACCGTTCTTAATTATATGTTAACTTTATATCAACATTCAGATTCATTGATATCTTTGTGCACACTAATTGGTATTTGACTGCTATTCTAAATCCATTAAATTATGAAAATTATTTATATTTTGCAGCATCTTGAATAGAAAGGAGTATTGGTACCGGTATTTAAAATGTTATTTCCTTATATGAAAATATATTAAGATTTAACTCATCCCCAAAGGCAGTGCCACCTCAGTACTACTCCCTTTTGCTATTGATAAACAATTATAAAAAAATAAATAATTATATGCTAAATATTAAGTAATGTTAATGGATTAATGAAAATGGATACAGAAATGAATGAAGTTAAATAAAAATATAACATTAAAGGTAAACAAATAACAAACAATGACCAAAACATCAATTTTCAACACCTCAGATGAACAGAATCTAGATATAGACATACAGATTTAAAGTGTAACAAGATAAAAACTTCCCATTTTTCAAAATTGACTTCAGGCTATCACGGAAGTCTTGAGAACAAAAAATTTGTTTGCTATTTTAAATACAAATAGAGGTGTGTCGCTATGTGCCGGGGCGTATTTGGACATATCCGTCAGTTACACACACACACACCTCAGACACATCTAGTTGCAACCTTTGGGAATGAGTTAAACCAAGTAATTTTATCTTCATAGACATGATATAAAGAATAATCGATGGAATAAAAAAAAATAGTGAGAGACATGTCTAATAATTTTACTGATTATTAATATCCACTCAATATATGTCTATTTATTTCAGTCTGCTGACTTTGAGGGCACTGTACCCACACAAACACTCTATAGAGATTGTGATGATGCAGAGTGTGAGCTGTTAGAACAGAAGTGATGATGACCATGATTCATCAAAGCCGTTATAACAAATAACCGAGTCACGGCATACCAGAAATTCTTTCGTCAGATGCAGCCATCACTGTATCTGGATTATTCAGGGGCTGAAAAGTTTTATTTTGTTTAAAGGACTGATAGCTTTATTTGCTTTTTAATGCTTATCAGCTTTATGTGCTTTTTAATGCTTATCAGACATAAAACTATTCCAAATTATTTTCAAAAGAATTAACATATTTTAACTATGCCATAATGAAAAAAACACTATTAAAAGAAATACATTTTTATATGTTTACTCGGGGACATAGTTTAAAAATGTATGTACATAAATGATGCATTACTTATTTACATGATGTATCTTATCAACAGCATACTTCATTATTTATTTATTCTTAATTTTATAAATGTGATGTGCTTGTGAACAATAATTTAAATACTCATTGTTTTTTTTCTAAAGATTGCTTTTTACATGTTATTTTTGTTTTTATACAGTTTTAGCAAGCAATTAGATCGAATCATTATTTGTGATTATTTGTAATAAAATTCATGAATAGAAACCTACACGTGTTGTTGGAGTGTCATTACCAAGTTAAATATTCATGGAGAATACAGTCAATTATTATGAAGGAAGTTTTCCAGCTGTTATTTAAGATTTTTCTTTACTACAACTAAACTATTTTAAGGTAAACAATATTGAAATACAGTGTAAAGTAATTGGTGGAAAAGGGCAGACATTAACTCAACCCAATAAGACCATCAGCTTGTTCAGGAGTTTTCACTGCTTATTGCTTTTAAAGGGGGCATAATCAACGTTTTCAATTTTATTTCGATATGTATTGTATGGTTAATATTGTCCTCAGTAGCTTACCAATAACCCAAGTCTTAGCAACTCTTAAATAGCACACCAATAACCCAAGTCTTAGCAACTCTTAAATAGCACACCAATAACCCAAGTCTTAGCAACTCTTAAATAGCACACAATAACCCAAGTCTTAGCAACTCTTAAATAGCACACCAATAACCCAAGTCTTAGCAACTCTTAAATAGCACACCAATAACCCAAGTCTTAGCAACTCTTAAATAGCACACCAATAACCCAAGTCTTAGCAACTCTTAAATATCACACCAATAACCCAAGTCTTAGCAACTCTTAAATAGCACACCAATAACCCAAGCCTTAGCAACTCTTAAATAGCACACCAATAACCCAAGTATTAGTAACTCTTAAATAGCACACCAATAACCCAAGGCTTAGCAACTCTTCAATAGCACACCAATAACCCAAGTCTTAGCAACTCTTAAATAGCACACCAATAACCCAAGTCTTAGCAACTCTTAAATAGCACACCAATAACCCAAGTCTTAGCAACTCTTAAATAGCACACCAATAACCCAAGTCTTAGCAACTCTTAAATAGCACACCAATAACCCAAGTCTTAGCAACTCTTAAATAGCACACCAATAACCCAAGCCTTAGCAACTCTTAAATAGCACACCAATAACCCAAGTCTTAGCAACTCTTAAATAGCACACCAATAACCCAAGTCTTAGCAACTCTTAAATAGCACACCAATAACCCAAGTCTTAGCAACTCTTAAATAGCACACCAATAACCCAAGCCTTAGCAACTCTTAAATAGGACACCAATAACCCAAGTCTTAGCAACTCTTAAATGGCACACCAATAACCCAAGTCTTAGCAACTCTTAAATAGCACACCAATAACCCAATTCTTAGCAACTCTTAAATAGCACACCAATAACCCAAGTCTTAGCAACTCTTAAATAGCACATCAATAACCCAAGTCTTAGCAACTCTTAAATAGCACACCAATAACCCAAGTCTTAGCAACTCTTCAATAGCACACCAATAACCCAAGCCTTAGCAACTCTTAAATAGCACACCAATAACCCAAGTCTTAGCAACTCTTAAATAGCACACCAATAACCCAAGTCTTAGCAACTCTTAAATAGCACACCAATAACCCAAGTCTTAGCAACTCTTAAATATCACACCAATAACCCAAGTCTTAGCAACTCTTAAATAGCACACCAATAACCCAAGCCTTAGCAACTCTTAAATAGCACACCAATAACCCAAGTATTAGTAACTCTTAAATAGCACACCAATAACCCAAGGCTTAGCAACTCTTCAATAGCACACCAATAACCCAAGTCTTAGCAACTCTTAAATAGCACACCAATAACCCAAGTCTTAGCAACTCTTAAATAGCACACCAATAACCCAAGTCTTAGCAACTCTTAAATAGCCCACCAATAACCCAAGTCTTAGCAACTCTTAAATAGCACACCAATAACCCAAGTCTTGGCAACTCTTAAATAGCACACCAATAACCCAAGCCTTAGCAACTCTTAAATAGCACACCAATAACCCAAGTCTTAGCAACTCTTAAATAGCACACCAATAACCCAATTCTTAGAAACTCTTAAATAGCACACCAATAACCCAAGTCTTAGCAATTCTTAAATAGCACACCAATAACCCAAGTCTTAGCAATTCTTAAATAGCACACCAATAAGCCAAGTCTTAGCAATTCTTAAATAGCACACCAATAACCCAAGTCTTGGCAACTCTTAAATTAACAATGCATGTCGGATCATCTCCTCAAACACGGTATATCTTGATTTTTTCAACTATTTAATCCGTTTTAAATCGATTTACATCACAGTTGTAGTCACTCTTGAAACAGATTTACCTGCATTTGTACACTATATACAAACTACCGAAATAAACATCAAACCCGGAGTTACAGGCCTAATCTTCTCGAAGATAACCTGGACTCCCGTTACATGAAATCACCAGCTCAAGATTTTGCAAGCTGCTCTCACCCACTTTTTCCACTTATTTTCATTATCGTTCTCATAAGTATATAGTTCTTATTCTCAGGGAGAGGGTAAGGGAGAGAGACTATCAACTCGCTTTCCTGAGCAAATACGAACATATATTGCTCATCCTTCGCATATCCGTATTTTGTTTAAAGTGAGGGAGATTTGCTCAATTCTTCAGCCTCACTGCCCCGTCCTTGCCTATTCAAGACTACTGGAAACAGGTCAGGATGCAATGGATGACCAGCAGCGTTGTTTTGTTTCACTGTGCTCTTTGTGTGTTCCACGTTGCAGGATTTGACGGAGTTTTCAATGTGTCAGATTTGAATTCAGTGTTTTCTCCTAGATGCGCTGCCACACATTTTAACTAGTCCCATCAAACAGTGTTTCTTTCAGACTATTGCCTCGTGTTGGTGGGTATGCCAGTGGCCGGAAGCATTGCTGCGGGGGGCAGAGGTACAGATTCCCCTGGCGCCAGACCATAGGGGGCGCCAAAAAGGTCTTGAGTGGTATTTAATGAATATTAATAATGGGTTTCAGAGTTTGGGGGAGGGGGGAGTAAATGAATATTTCCCCCGGTGCCAAATACTCAAGCTATACATCTGAAGCGAAGAAAGGGTGGCGAATGGGGTGAACCACCCAGTTTCAAATTTTGTTTATTATAATTATATCGAAGGGCGGCATTTTTGGATAACTCCAGAGTTTGTATTGTAAATGGAGTGCGACATTAAGGTCTGTGGCGTCACCTCCCCAGAAAATGTTTGATAATTTCAAAATCAAAAGCTGGATTTTTTAGTAGAACTGAATTCAGTGTCTCTGTTGATGTGGGGAAGGAATTTTTGTAACGTCCGAGGGAGGCATTATGGCGTCCAGAGTCATACATACATAAACTAAAGTCACTCAAGTTGTGCGGCGCCCCAGATAAATCATTTGGCAAACCCTTAGATTTACTGTCACACTGATTGTTGTGAACTAGTTTGTTGTGAATGTTGGGTAGGGGGAGTCGTGAATCGTGAGAGTGTTTTGTGAGTTGTTGATCCTGAGGTCAGAGCGTGAAGTTAGTCCGTGGTGTGGCACGTTTGCGTAGGCTGAGTTGTTTGTGTGGTATTATAAAAGGGATGTGTGTTAGCTAGAGGTCAGACAGAGAGAGGTCAGAGAAGAAAGGTAGAAGAGCAAGAGGAGAATTGTTAGTCATCAAATGTTGTCAGACAAGAGTTAGTCGAGAGTGGTGCTAGGAGAGTGGATATTGGTAGTTGGACTGATGTGTATCCTGTTTTGTAAAGTATCTAATAAATTATTATGTTGTTACACTGGACTTTGTGTTTTATTTGAGAGATTCATACACCCTTGACAACACAAGAGGGCCGTAACATTTCAAGTATAATAAAGGTCGTAACACAGATCAGCGTAAGGGAAGAGGAGTGCAGAAATTGAGGATGCAGAAGACTCTCGGGAAAATTCAAAATGTAACGCTACATTTTGGTACATACTTGAATTCCATTTTTTTTCTGACGATTTTGAGACGGCTTTTCAAGCTTTCGCGTGTGAAGCGCTAAAATTAACCATAATGATTATCATGAATATCTCTAACTCCGTCCCTGACCAACAAAACCTAAATTCATTCCAGTTGGGACACCCTTGAGGGTATCCTTTTTTGCCCTAGATTATTCTCGTCCCTTAAACTTAAATGTTTATAGAACCCAGACAATTTTAGATACATTCAAAATACAAAAAAATGTATTTTAGAACATACCCGAATTTAGTTTTGTAACATTCTACACTTAGCCTAATTGGAGAGCAACGGAATAGTTGCTAGTTTAAAATTTAGGTGTCATTTGACCTGAGAGTCATCGTGTTGGCCCCACAACCCCTATGGCTGAAGGGTACCTCTGCAGACCTGTTTACCCCCAAACTCTTAAAATCGTACAATATCACCACAAAATTGTTCAATACATTATCTTAATAGTAAAAAAAACCACACAGTGTATAATAATGCATACACCTCAAAATCGTACATTGTACGCCAAAATCATAAGAGTAAACAGGTCTGACTCTGATATTTTAAAGCTTTTTAAATTATGAACATTGAAATAATAGAATGCTGAGTGGGGGAGGACAAAAACTAAAAGAGGCAAGAGGGCTTAACAAAAGTCTAACCTCGGCTTTGCTTGTGTTATTATTTTTTTTATATAATACTAAATAGTAATGAGGCTTTGAATTTTTATTTATCTATTTTTAGGGTAAACATCTTAACATAGATGAATTTTCAACAAAAAAAAAAAACAATGTTTTGTTTTTTTAAATTAACATTCCTTCCAAAAGAAGCTTCCATCACAAAAAACTATGTTAGCATTATTTTACGAGGTGAACCCAAATAAAAAAAAATAAACTACTTATTTTAATTACTTTTTCGGAATATTTTCAAATTTTATCAGTTAAAGAGAGCGAAAAAAAACTGTTTTGTTGAAAGCTAATTACATAATTTTTATGGTTTTTAACAAAATTGTCATTTTATAAATCGTACGTGAACGACATAATTATTTTAAAGAAGACGTGATATGTTTACAATGCCATCCTATTATTATATTTATTAATTTGAGATTTATATGAAATTATGAAGGGAATTGTATACAAGTAAAGTGTTAAATTCCCAAATTTCAGTTGATTGTAATAACAGAGCTGTTCTTATAAGTTTGGCGCCCTAAGCATGGAGCGTAGGTTGGTGGGGGCCCTGGAAGGGAGGGGGTCCGGGGGTGGAGCTCCCTCGAGCTGAGGAGAAAACACCACCCACCACTGCGGCACCTCCATTCTGCCTCCATCAATGTTTCCTCTTTGCTCGCGTGTAACCACTAACCATATTGATAATTCCGCCAAAGTCTTTCTAGCCATTTCAACCATAAGCAACACAGCCAATATGCATTAACTAGAAAATAAGGTAGACAAAATGCCTATATGCCTAAGAATGGCTCTGGTGGCACTTATTTCCTTATTTTGAGGAAGGAGATCGCCCCCGTTTATCAATAATTTGTTTGTGTGTGCATCATTGCTATATCCCTTAGGTGTTAAGCGGCCCTACGCGGGGGGTCCAGGGGGACGGAGCCCCCCGGAAGCTCCGCGAAAATGCGTGAAAATGAGTCCAAGGAGACGTTTCCCTGTAACGTGACGAGGGCATCTCCCTGCGTCACTTGTTCGCCCCCTCGGAGTAGTTGGCTGCTACAGTTGAGCCAGTTGGAACTGTTTCCACTGGACACCACGTGGCGGTATGTAACTAAGCCCAGCCCGGGGGATCGAGGGCGCCTCACGGGGGCCCCCTCACGTTTGGGGCCCTACGCGAATGCGTAGTCAGCGTATGCCTAAGAACGGGCCTGGTAATAATTATTTAGAATTTCAAACTAATATAACTTTCTGCAGATAAATTACAAATTCACTCTTCGATATACTTTAACACATTTTTTTAAACCAAATCCATAGAAATTATTTTTAAATTGACGATTTGAGGAAGCAGAATTATTGCTAAAATTAGTACCATAAAATTGAATTCATCATAATGATCAAAATTCCATTTCACACAAACGTTTTTTTAAAGGCTTTCTACTGGATTCTGATCTAAAAAAATTGTATAATTTACAACAAAAAAGTGCGTGCAAATAGATGGGGCAGATTGTTTATTATTGTGGTGTTAAAAAGAGAAAATTCGTTGGGAATCTAATAATATAATATGCTAAGTATATATTTTTTAATTAAACTCTGTTATTCGGGAAAGTGTGTAATACAAGTAGCACATGACATAGAAAACGCAAAAGATTTAGATATAATAATTGATGAAACCTGCATAATTTGTATGAGACCGTTAAATTTTTATTTTATTGTTTTAAAAAAAAATATCATTTTTTTTTTAAGTTTTCATGTTTCAAGCTCAACGTACATGGAGTCGAGTACATTTAAAATTATGCTAATAATAACTATATTTTTAAAGCAATTTATAATTAACACATATCCGTACTTGAAAAGTCATGCTTTAATCCATCCATCCCTGTGGCGCTACAGCCCATCTAGGGCTTTGGCCTGCCTCACCACTTCCTTTCACTCAGACCGCACTAAGGCTTTTCTTTTCCCTGCTGCTGTAGATCTTTTTTCCCATCATCCATCCATCGAATCATAGGTCTGCCTTTGAGCCGTTTTACCATGCAGGGGTTTCGGTGATAAACCCTCTTCACGCATCTGTCATGTGTCATTCTTTTTTTTTTAAGTGTCACGTCCTGCGTAGCCTGCCTTTTTTAATTAGTGCTACTAGCTTGGGTTCTTGATATAGACTGTACAATTCCTGGTTGGTTCGTATTCTCCATCCGTGTTCATCATTTGTTGGTCCATATACTTTCCGGAGAACTTTTCTTTCCAATGCGCTATATAGGTTTTCTGAAGTTGTTGTTTTTTTTTGAAGTTTTTTTTTTTTTTTTTTTTTTTTTTTTTTTTTTTTGGGTCCCCGTTTTTTTTTTGTTTTTTTTCAATTGTTTTATATAAGTTTTTTTTATTTTTTTTGTTTTTTTTTTTTTTTTTTGTTTTTATTTTTTTTTTTTCTTTTTCTTTTTTTTTTTTTTTTAATTTTTTTTTTTTTTTTTGTTTTTTTTTTTTTTTTTTTTTGTCTGTCGTTGTTGTAAGGCTCCACGTTTCATTTGCGTATGTTCCAAATGGTCTGATAACAGTTTTATATAATTTTTTTGTTTTGTTTTTCTTGTAATGTTTTTAATTTTGACCATTTTCTGATTCTTGTATGCCCTCTTTCCGGCGAATATTCTTTCTTTTATATCTGTAAGTAATTCATTTCTTTCATTTAATAAAGATCCTAGGTATTTGAATTGATTTACATTTTCAAAAGTGTGTTTTCTATTTGAATGGTTTCATCTGTCTTTTCTTCTTTTAGTGTATTCATGTATTTTTTTTTTTTTGTTGTTGTTGTTGTATTTTTTTATTTTATTTTTTTATTGTTGCTAACTTCCATCCCTGCTTGTAATGATGCGTCTTCTAATTTAACAAAGTCTTTTGATATATCTTTGCTACTTTTTCCCAACAGTGCCATATCATAAGCACAACATATAAGATGTTTAGAAAAAATTAAAAAATATTATATAAAAATAAAACAAAAAGAATACTTAAGATTGTTGGTAAATTTAAAAAAAAAAAAAAAAAAAAGGGTGTTTGGAGGATTTAATTTCTAGGGAACTCAAAATTAAAACAGCTTAGGGCCTCTCATGAGCTTACCACGGAAGATGTCAAAATCATTGCCGATTTATTCAAGATGCAGTAAAATGAAATTACCCCGACGCTACTACACGTGGACGTGGGCAATATAGCGATTTACCACCCAGACGTGAGATTATTGTCATCAGATCTAGAGTCCACCAAATTCTGTTTGGAAGTGTTTCGTAAAATCAATGTAGCCTAGATATAGTTAGGGCCGGTCTTTAGGGTGTGCGACCAGTGTCCTAGCATAGGGCGCAGTGGCCGTAGGGGCGCCTGGGGCGCCCAGTAAATATTTAAATTCCCTTAGTTTACTATAGTGAAGTGTGAACCTCGGGTCCAGGGTCGAGAAACGGTATTCTAACTTTTCGTACAATCGCTTTTTATACAATGAGTTTTCATGCAATGAAAGTTGCATTTTTAATTTGGACACTAGCTCGGGGGTTGTGACCATCCGAAATTGGGTGGAAATTAATTTATTAATAACGTATTTCCTTGTCCCTCTTACAATTATTACAGCAGAAAGAATATGAGGGGGGGGATCTTTCCGGGGTGCAAAGCAGAAAAAGTGCGTCGTAATCGGAAAAAGAGCGGAGCCATAAAGGGACAAGGAAGGGGGCGCCGAACGGGTGCTTCGCATAGGGCGAAAGTTTACCTACAGCTTAACTTTGGCGCCCCTCATAAGTATAGTCATTATAGTAAAAAAAACTAGATATTCCGTAATGAGTTTATAACCTACGTTGTTGTTTTTTTTTAAACGGTGAACAATTCATTGTTTATTTTTAAGAAATAAAATAATTACCAAATAAATAGTTTTTTCCTTTAAAAGGTATACTTATAAGGGGCGCCAAAGTTAAGCCTAAACGGGGCGCCAGAAACCGTCGTGCGGGCTCTTATGTAGGGCAGAGTCAAGCAACGATTTGAACATTTTAGCGGCATTGGATAGCGTTCCACGAAAGGAATAGAACCCCTCGAAACCATAAAGAATAGAACCTCTTGAAACCACATGGGAGTTCCGAAACAGTGGGTGTTGCTTATAGCAACATTGTGGCTGTTAATTTTGGCTTGGCGAGGCCAGGACAGCCTTACCGAGAATATAATGTAAAGGCCGTAATTTCCCATACGTTTGAAATAGGGATTTCGAAGAATGTGTCCGTGAAAGGAGGAGCGTCCGGAAATTAGCCATTAGTGAAACAAATGGCGGCATCTTGAGCTACATACAATAAGCTGACGGCCGAAGTCCGGCAGTCATAGGTTGGTATTCAAAAAGGAAAAAATGTAGTGAAAAAAAACTCAACGTCATTAGCTTTGAAAATCATCTGAGATTAAAATGATCCATACAGCGTGGCATTGTGTGTGGGGTGTGTGGGGGGGGGG